ATATGCCAAGCCGTACTCTGATTGGCTCTAGAATTTATTCCCTAAGCCGATTTAATTTTGTGGCTCAATTAACCTTTGTGCTTTAATGCCTTAATTTAATTAGCAACAGTTTAGAAATATTGTCAAAAATGCAGGCAACCTGGGATTTTCACTTCCGTAGTATTATTTCTGCCGAAATGCCGCGGAAAATTTGGGCCCCAGGTTTCAGCATCCCGATTACCGACAAGCTCATGGAATTTTATTTGGCAAAAAGATTTATGCGCTATGCGACCGGAAGCCGACTTCCAAGGCGCGTAGGAGCGGAGTTTATTCCCCGCGCCAAAACCAACATGGTTATAGGCCAAATAATCCCAAAACACACACACACATCTGAGAACTGTCCTCACTGCAGGACGCCAGGCTGCGTTGGCCAGCGGTTGTGCGGTCAGAAAGCAGTGGGGATTCGGCGGAGCAAAGGGAGGTTAGCTTAGAAAACGCCTAGTTAAGGCAGAAAATGGGAAGTCGCGCGAACGCGATAGATAAGAGGAAATATCTCGATATCACAAAAACGACTACGTAAATTGATAGAATAGGGAAACGAAGATTAGTTGGAGATTACTACACTGATTCAAAGGATATTCAAACAATGCATACCCCGCTCTGATCTGGAACTCACTATAGAGTCATTGCAGGCAGTCGATCAGAGACTTATGATTTATGTTGATAAGGTGGAACCGACAAAGACAAGGGAAACCACAGCGTCCACTTCTGGCTCACTAGCCGTCATCAGATAGTCATACTCCATCCCCGGTGTGGATCACCGCACTAATAAGTCAGAAGTACCTTTTCCGATCTCCGTTGTCTTTGTCGGTTCCACTACATACATGTATATATATAGCTTTCATCGTCTCCCAAAGAAGAATATGAGGTGGGTTCGTGGACCGAATTATATCTTACCTGATATTTTGGCGCCCTTCTCGCTTCCACCTCAAAGTATCGTAGTTGCTGCATCTGGTGGTCTTGAGTTAGTTAACCTGCCTGTCTGCCTCGTATTATACCCGTGCTGGACGCACGAACATTGACTTGTCCGTTCGTTGCTGACTACATTGGATCTCCCGGCGGTTGGCCGCCAACAACGGGTTGCATGACCGTTGTTCCCTTTGGGGTCAGCGTTGATGTAGGCAAGCCAATGTGCCTGTTAACCTCACCCAAGTCAGCCGGTGGACTGATTAGTCGTAGCTGCTCACCTGAGTTGTTTTCCGCTTTGCGAGTACAGTGTTCAATGTTGGCCACGTAGCCCCCGATCGCTACCTCTATTTTCCGTTCTCGGTTCCGCGTACACGTTTGCTCTATTGGCCGTGTCTAAATTGATCCGAGCTTTGTCCGGAGCACCCGGTAGGCTGGCTTTAAGTCTACGGCCCGGTTGAATGTGCCAGCTGAGGACTAACTCTCAAGCACTAGAACGGCTATCTTCTCATTAGCCCTGTCGATCACCTTCGCTTTTTCAAAGGGCGAAGTCGTGGCTCAGCTGTTGTACATGATCATAAACCAAATGCAGCTTGTCCTTACGGTTGATTGCAAGTTGGTGTTCGTGCAATCTTGTACTCAGGCGTTTACCCGTTTCAGCAACATGCCTCGCATCGCAATTTTTGCATGTTATGCTGCAGATCAAGGCAGATTTTTCGGTTACTGACAGTTGGTTTCTAGGCTTCAGGGCTTGTTGTCTGATAGTGAAGTCTGGCCTATGCGCCACATCGATCCCAAAAGGTTCTAGGATTCGTATTGTCGCCTCTAAAAGTTTTTCACTTAGGGGATTGCGAGCCAGAATTTCGGTTTTTCTTTGCTCGAACGATGAAGATGAGGCTTCTTGAGACACTTTCGGATGAAGGATTTCTGATAACCGTTGGCTTTGAAAAGGGCATGTATGTACTTCGTCTCCTCCTGCTTCCAACGATCGTGGCTACAGCGTTTTTGAACACATCAGAAGAGGGTTCTCACATAATTGCGTTTGTGACTAACCGGGTGGTTCCTTTGGAAGTGGAGAACGTGCCTGGTGTTAGCTGCCTTACGGTAGACCGTTGTCTTTTTCTTCCCGTCTGGCAGTTTGGCAACTTGGACGTCAAAGAAGGGAAACTGGTTGTTGACTTCTTGTTCCATGGTAAATTGGATGTCAGGAAAGATTGAATGAAGTAGTGCTTTGAAAGCTTGAACTTGGGTCCTCTTGAGTATGATGGGCGTGTCATCAATGTATCTGACCCAGAATTGAGGGAAAAATCCGAGTTTAAGACCAGTTGCTCAGACCTCTGCAGAACTGTTTCGGCAATGACTCCAGATAGGAGGGAGCCCATTGGTGTCCCCTTTGTTTGCTAGTACATCTGGCCGTTGAAGGTGAAGAAGGTCTTAAGACACAGTTCGAGGAATTCGATGATATACGCTCGTCTGAGTTGTTTCTCGGTCTTGCCATATTTTTCGCGAAGAAGACCGTCAATACTGTCGATAGCCAGTGTGGCTGAGATAGAAGTGAATAACGAAGTCACATCGAAAGACTCCATCACCTCGTCTGTCTCTACTTCAAGATGTCTGATGCGTGTCAGAAACCCCTCAGCCGACTCCACTGTCCACCTCGAATCCCTGGTAAGGAAACAAAGTCGCTAGCTTAACCACTTTGATAGACCAAACTTTGGGGTGCCATGTAATGAGACGATGGGGCGTAAGGGTACTCCTGATTTCTAGACTTTTGGCAGGCCGTAGAAGCTCGCCATAACGACATTAGTGGCTTTTGTGGGCAGCGCTTCTCTTCTCGCAAGGGCTTTTGCCTTTCGCAGCTTTTCGATCGTCTTGTTTATGCTGTTCACGAGCTTTATGAACTTGTTCGCAGTCGATGGCGCATAGGATTCCTTGTCCATCAAGAGGTTGTCCACTTTTGCCCCATACTCAGCCTTATCCACGACGACCGCTGAGCGTCCTTTTTTCAATTTTTATATCCTCAAAAGTTCTTGTTCTTCTGCTTTAAACATCGTCATTTTGAGTTTGTGCTGAAGAAGTAAAGTCGCTACTCGTTGCCACATGACATTCTTGCACTCCTTAGTTGCCTCGAATGTCTGAAGCGCCGATTCGAAGGCTGCGACAAAGTCTTCTGGTTGAGCTTCTCTCGTGCTGAACTCTGCGTCATAAGATAGAATATGTAGTAGCTGTTGAGTGAGAGGATGGGAGGACAAGTGATGAACCAGGAGCCCATCAGAAGAGTGCTGCATTGGTGGACTGATTTTTTCAAACTTCACATCCCGTTGGTCATCATGTAAGTTGCGGTAACGCTTTGTACTTGTCGCTCCGAGGGTTTCCGCCGTAAAGATGGACCAGCACGTGGAGAAGTGCTCTCCGATCATTCGTCTATATTTGTGAATGCGGTTGTGGTAGACTCGTATCATTACCCTGACCGTTTTCTTCCGCCTTGCTGTTATCGTCCGTTGGCATAAATCATTTTTCGGGGCTTGTCTATATCTGAGGCTTCTCGGTAGAACGTTCTCTTCAAGGCACCGTTGCAGGAATTTCAACTGAGCGTAGACGGGTGACTCTTGCTTCGCAAAAGTCTCCTATCTGCCTGCTGAGTGAAGGGCTGCGCGCCCATAGCATAAATTAATATGCGTAAAGATTCGGGGTCCAGATATGCTATCGCGTTCATCATCTCCCAAAGAAGAAGAAGAGGGGGCGGGTTCATGGACCATACATAGATAAATATAGGTCACGGAACTTATCCATGAACAACACACTACCACTGTCAATATACCTGGTTACAACCGATAGGACAACGAGGTCGTGGCTTAATAGTTGGTGCGTTGGACTTCTAGTTAGCAGGTTGTGGGTGCAAACCATGTGTATGCTATAATATCGGTATGTCAAACATTTAATAAGAAATAGGGGAAGATTTCTTCAGACAAATTTGCATTTGGTCTGTAAATTTTCAAATCTGTTAATTAGGTTCGTCAAGCAAATGGGTGATGTGCGAAGCACAGTTAAATTGAAATCATGCCTAGGGCAAGATTCTTTGGTTGGTGAAAGGTTAAGCCAATAGGTGTCCACTGAATTCAGTTATCCGGGCGATCTCGGTTGTGCTGGCCTCCAGCTGGCCTTGAGAAATCCGCAAGTGTCTATTAAAGCATGTTACGTCTGAGTGCATAGTCTCCAGGATTTCACGAGCCTTTCTTGTCGTACAGGCGCCAAAGATGCGGGTTTTCTCTTTGACGGATTGGTGTGCTGTCTCGAATGTCTGCATGGATACCTGTGCTAAATGATTTTATCTATTCACTTAGTAGTGTTCACGTATCCGGGTCATGAGGGAGATTTCCCGGTTTTGCCACAGTAGACTTCATCTCACATGGTGCATGGTATTTTCAGGACCATTAATCTTCTGTTGAAACAGTCAGTCCTTTCCTTGCGGTATACAAGCTGGATGCACAAAATAGTTGCAGGCTCGTGTAAAAATTGCATCTGTGCTTATTTTGGCTGTCTTTCGAAGGGCTCGGATGGACGCTTTACGCAAATGAGATTTTGCGAACAGGTTATTTTGGCACCTGGGTAGTCGCAGTTCTGGCAAAACCCTTTCCTTGAACTGTTTTAGTCGCACGAATCGATGGACCCATAATTTGAAAGCTCAGGACAATAATCAAGTTGCTCCAGTGCTCGCAAAACCTTCTTAATTATCCATGCAAATACCTGAAATGCGAGCTTTCTCATTCACTCACAAGTATATATATATATATATATATATATATATATATATA